CGAACAAAAGACACACAGACAGACCCTTTCTTTTATTATATGTAGAGATAATGTGCACAAATATTAAAACAATGTAATTGGAAACAAAAGAGCCGGACAACTTGAAGAGATGTTACCAAAGTAGACAGAAGCATCAGAATAGCAAATATTATATTGACATTAGATTATAAATGATTTAATTCAGTAGATTTTCAGCAGACGAACATAGTATTATTTTACTGAAATTGATTTTGTTGAATTCTAATTAGTTCTAACATTTTGCTTTCACTTTTAACGTTATGTAAGTAATCTGTCATTCGCGTTATATGTGAATTCTGTAACTGGGATTCATATTTGAAGTAAGGCATTTCAGAAAGATTTATTATAAGCATTTTACTGTTTATAGGTCAGAAAGAAGTAACTAAATTAAAAACAAAACTTTAAAGGGCTGAAAATACAAGTTAGAATTTTATTTTACATGAAGGAAAAAGGGTGGGGGGGGGCTTAGCGGAAAAAAAATCTCGAAAAAAAAAAAAAAAAACGCATTTAATGTAGTAGAAAATAAAGTGAAATATTATTATTTGGAAAATTTATGAAAATCAGCAGTAGATTTTAATTTCCAAAAGTATAGAATAAAAATTTAGAACACCGTACTTTTTGAAAATAAGCCTAGTCCTTTGAGAATTGATTATGAAATTTTATTTCAATCTTTAGGCCGATTTATAGATTTTAAGTACACAAACACGGGGAATCTGAATTTATTACCTTATTTTTACTTTTTAACAGTAGTATATACTAGAAAACAGGTATACTTGATAATAAGGTTAAATTTAACACAACAGCATTTGGCTATATCGCTGAATGCAGTTTTTATCGGTGAATGCAGAATTTATTAAAGAAAATTCTGAATGAAGCTATTTCGAACTATATTTTCTAAATAGATGAGAATAAATTTTGAGTTTTCTTTTTATGATGACTGTTTTTTTATATATTAACGCTCGTGATGAAAAGCGTAGTAAATACTAGTTATGATTTAACGAGTTGCTTTGAGGATACAAAGTACCAAAGCCGTTAAATTTATGGGGATCGTAAACTTTTTTTTTTTTTTTTTTTTTTTTTTTTAAATAGCGCGCTGCAGAATGATTTATGATAAGCGTTTATTTTACGTTATTTTTTAGGATAGATATGGAATTTGATCTTAAATGCATACGCATGGTATCATTTTTCATGGCAATGTAGGTGTTAACGATGAAAGCCGATTTCATAGGACGGTTAAACTTTTTAATTCTTGGTAAAATATTTTTGCACGTGCAAAAAGCGCGCCTCTTCTTGAATAGTTACATTGGTACACATTTTTGTAACATGTTGGAAGAAAGAAAGAGCAACAATGGCAACATGCTTGCAAGTCAGAGAAGCGGAGATCATACTTCGAAATTTGAGTAAGAATGATTTAGTTTTTGGTCTTACTTTATCCCTGTCGGTTAAGTAATGGTTTAGATCTCAAATTTTAACATTATTATTGATTGAAGCGTTATATAAACACCGGCGTTAGTATCTCTCTATAATAATCTTTTGGCATGGATTAATTTTCAAATGATGCAGTTTAGAGAGATGTATTATAAGCAAGTTACTATTTTTAGAACAGAAAGGGTAAAATAATGAAATTAAATGGGAAACTTAAGGGGCTGCAGAAAATTAAAGTTAAAATTTTATTTGCATACATATATATATATATATATATATATATATATATATACTAAATTATTTCTTATATATATATATATATATAAGAAATAATTTAAGTAAATAAATTACTTATAAGAAAGCCGTGTTAATATTCTATCGAAAGGACTTGAACTGAATACGTGTTTTGTGTTTAAAAAATGACAGCTCAAGCATTTGGTTTTTTGTATATCTGAGTATGGTGGTGTTCCAGTTAGTACCAATATCTGGAATGTTACTGGACTTAATTTTAACATTTATTTAGCTTAATTGTGTGACTCACTTAATGAGCATAGCATTTATTTGTTAATATGCAACTATATTTCTTTTTAAAGCATTCAATTTTTTAACAAGAATATTACGTACTTTTCCGTTTCGCCGGCGCAAATCTCGCCAAGCAGACTTTGTTGACGACAGCATACAGTATACACATAAAAAATTTTAGTTCTAAGAATTTTTTATTTTGAAGGCATAAACATATTAATATGATTTAAAATTTGTAAAAAGCCAATAAATAAAGACAAAAATAGCATTGGTTTGTGGTAAGCGATAGCCAGTTCGGAGGATAAAATAACACCAATCAATTCCAGGTAGATGATAAATTAATTTCCCTGCTGATCAAATAATAGCTGAGAAGCGATTGCGGGAGAGTAAACGTTGATTCTGTTACAATATTCCGACACCGCTGTTTGTGCCGCTGTTCAACACCTACATAAAATGTTGTCACTTGATTTCACCTTGCTATTGTTTGGACCTCATCAGCTGTGTGTATGTACCTGCTCTACGCTCGAGTGTATAAATGATCGGGTCGGCCCACACGAAAACCTCTTCCTTCACGCCTGGCTGCATAGAGCGTCCGTCACCCTGAATACTAACGAACCTTCTCGTCTCTTTTAGCAACAATGGTTATCTCTTGTCCAGCTGACCAAAGACCAGAAACCAATGGAGCCTTTTACAGCCTACAAACGGAGCCTTGTGGGCCAAATTCCGCTCCTATTCAGCGGGGCCATAACGAGCTGGCGAAAAATAGTTGATTTTTATTTTATTTTGGGGACTGTTTCCCACCCGAACCCGTATCGACTATCGTCCCACGCATCCCAGGAAGTGACTAATTGCGATTTGGGTGATTGTTTCCAGATATGACCTTGCTATTTCCTGGTGAAGGAGCCCGCATCACCGATTATGTCGCAGGTTTGAAATTGCGGTGTTGTAGGTGAATTGCTGTCCTACATCGCTCGATCAGGAGGAAGATAGTTAATCTTCGATGAAAACGTTTTCTGCCTTTCACAAAGAAAAGAAGTTTGCTGCGAACGTGTTTCCCAAAATAAAGACAGAGGCGGATTTCAAAAGCGTTGGAAAATTTTCTAGAAGACATGAGCATATTGCCTTTCCATCTAAGCGTTAATATACAGAAGCCCAAATGTTTATTTTTTAACAGCTTAAGAAGGAAATTTAATCTTGTCTACATATCAAATTGCCATACATATAGAAAAATAAATCGTGTATTAGTTTATATGGTATTTCTCCCACCATCCTAGCATGCCTTCGTGGTGTACTGGTCAGTACTCTCGATGCGAATTCAAGAGGACCATGTTCGAGTCTCGGCGAGGGCGTTGCTCAATTTCATGTCTCCTGCTTCGAAATTACCTAATGTCTCTACAAGTTTACTTAAATTTAATGTGTAATAGGAGTTAAAATAGCGTAGAATACAATGCCAGCTCGGATTAAAATGTCAATTAGTTTATTTTGTCTTAACTTTCCTTGCAACTGCCAAAGAAAATAACTTAGCGTAAGTATTTAGTTATTAAAGAAAAGGATCAATCATATTTAAGCATTTCGCAAATTGCATTCGATTTTAGATTTAAAAATTAGGTGATTCTTCAAATGGCTGGAAATACAGAAGCATTTTACAAAGTTATTCAACAACTTTTTGAATTCATGTTATTCCTCCTGTATTTACTTTTTCAATCAAATACTAGACAGCATACAGAGGCTTTCTGCGTTAAAGACCAGAATGTTGCTATTAAGGCAAATTCCAATGAAAGGGCTGGCTGCACTGGAGCTTTCGTGATTTTTCCTCTGTGTAACATGAATACGAGCCGATTATATCCTTAGAAAGTTCTCCACGAAGACAACACTTTTTAAGGCAGATAGACCTCACGCGCTTTACTGTGACTTAAATAATCAAAATCCTTCTTTTATAGAGGACTTTTCTATAGAAAGCTGGCTCGTTTTTATTTTACTTGTGGGCGAAAATCACGAAAGCACGATTGCAGCCTATTTTGCCCTGTAATACATTTGTCGAAATATTTGAAAGGAAAATATATCTCTAAATGTGAACAATTTTTTTAAAGCTTAACTATTTGATCCTATCATTTAAAAATCTTAGATCTTTCATTTTTATTGACGCCCAAAGTGTGCCACACGATGTACACCCTACACAGTAGTGTACCTACACATTATTGTAGTTTCTCGCGTGAAGAAGCCATAAATACCCAAGCTTTCTTTGGGATTCAAACCCAGGACCAATATAATTGCAGTTGGCTTCGCTAACCAGCATACCATTCATTGCCGCTTTTGAGGTTTTCTTATAAATTATTTCATTTTCTATCAACTACTTCATTAATAATTCATGTTTCTTTTCATATGAATTACTATCGGCGGTATATCTAACCCTTTTCTTCTGGTGATAGGTGTAATCCGTGCCGCATTTATAATTAGTGGTTTCCTCATTTGTACGGCAAAATACAATAGTTTTTCCTGGAAGAGTCTACTATGAATATATCTCTTTCTTAGCAGACAGCTGTTGAATGTTGTGCTCTAACTAATAAATCAAAAATTATTGGATTTAATAACAACAAGCAAATTCTTTTAAATGAAGTATTTTTTGAAATATCAGAAACCTAATGTATCAGTCCTACCATGAAACGTAATTACGATCAGCCTTTAAATAATAGCTTTCTGTTCAATTGGCATTAAATCTTTACAATTTAGTTATAATTAACTAAATATTGGATTGAAAAGTGGATTTCTTTCTTGTGTTTCTTCAAACATTTCTACCTCGATGACATAAGTATTTCTGATAAAACGATAAATCTCTTCTGGATCAAATAAATTAATTTTTTTTAACAAACTCATATCCAGATATAAAAGATAAAATAATGAGATTCCTGGTTCCTAGTCTTTTTCACAGTTTTCATTGATTTTAATGTCCAAAGATTTCTCTGTAAATGCTTCTTGACTGCACAATAACTAGATTATGTGCAAATTTTAACCTCGCAATTTGTTTTCTTTACCAGTGTGGCCGTGACATCTCCCGAACCAGAGCTCATCACTGCTCATCCAGACTCAATATCTCCTGTACAGAGCCCGGCGCAACAACCGAGCGATTTGTCAACTCCCGGAGCCATATACCTGCATAGAGGCGATAAGCCGGTCATCGTTCAGACTGTGGACCGGGAAGACTCTGTCATCCAGCCGGTCCCTGATGGTATGGTAGAGGGCACCGGAAAACCAGAGGACAAAGAGGGAAGTCAGGCGTTGCCCTTATTGGCACCGACAGCGGTCGAAGTGAAGCAAGGCAGTGACGGGGATGATGGTGAAGCGGATATGGGAACAGATTCTTCTCGCTCCAGGGATATCCAGGTATGTATGTTCATGTATAGCTGAAAAATGTACAAATTGTGCTAAAGTTCTGAAGTATTTTCGGTTCTTCTATTTGGCAAGTTTTCTTTATACTTTAACCGCAGTTTAAAGAAAAATGCTTATATTCTAAATCTTAAAGATTTGAATTCCTTACAAACGTTTCTTAAAAGTGGCGTTACTTTTTAAGACAGGCTCATATGTCCAAAGTGTTTGTTTACTCTAGGTTGCAGGATTCTGGCTTTAAACTCCTTTTATAATTGGTTAGGTTATTTTTCATTTTCTGTAAAGGAAGAGTTAATCCTTCTATTACATTTGCTTGTTTAATACATTACTATGCCGTGCTGTGCATGAGGGTTGTCTGTTTCAGGAAGAGGGGTACCTTTGTGGAAGACTTTGAGAGATGCAAATAGTAGTTATTATCCATGTTACATATATAAAAAAAACACGAAAATTCCTATGCAATTAGTTCCTTTGCCGGAATTTGAAACCGGGGCGAACAGTCAATATACACCGGATCTACCACTGGACTGAAATAATTAATTTTAGTAAATGTGAGCTGTAAAGGTCAGCATTGAATTTAAGCTTATTTCTAGATTATTATATTTAATTCCTTCCTTTAATCTGAAGAGCATTTGAAAATATTACATGATCAATCTTAAGCCAGCTTGAGATTAAAAGTTTCTTTATTCACCCCCCTTTTTTTTTTCTTTCAAAAATGAAACAAACTTACCTTTGTCAACCGATTGTGCAGTTCGTCTGCGCTTACGAATTAATTTTTTAATTTTTACTCTTTCATGAAGCTAAAATTGATACGTGATATTACTAATTTATAATAAAAGTTTAATTTTTCTTCGATAAACTCGATGATAAAAATCTAGATTAAATTCCTGTTCGTTTTAATAAAAAAAAAAGCAATTTTGAATGCCGCTAATGATTCTTTATAAGATATGTAAGATTTTTTGACCAGATTTAAATTAAAAACCATTGCTTCTTTTGGAGATTCATCTTTGATAGTTAGGTGAAACAGCAAATGTTATTTGCAACTATTTCCATGAAAATATTAACTACTCATATCTTTGCGAATTTTGCTCATAGAAATATGGAAATTTTTATTAGCGTTTCATTCAAGCATAATATTTTAATGACTGGAATTTTTCCTATACAGGAAGCATATTAAAAAACTGTGTTTTATATTTACAGAATGTTTTCCATCCTATCCACATTTTCATAAAATTCAGAATCATTTGTTGAAGAACTAATTTAATGCATAATTTATGTTGCCTCTGGTTTAGTCCACTACTGACCGAGTGGTTAAGACCATTGAATGCTGGTATTTCGTGCCGGGTTAAAGTTCCTGCGAACGGGCAGGTTGAACAACTATTTTCTTGGTTTCTTCCTTGTGAAACATAAAAATGAGTCAGTTTCCTTAAAACGTTCTCCACAAAAGTAATCCTCTCTTTAAGCGGTTAGCCCTTATATGCTTTATCATATTCAAATAAATAAATAAGCAAGCAAATCTTACGAGTAATTGGAAATCATATCTAGGATAGATGTTAAATGATTTTTGTAGCATTATTTTTCGAACATCTGATAAGATACGAATTTGATATGCATTTTTTAAAAGATAGCTATTTATTTGTCTACGATATACAATGCAAATGAGGATACTTTTTATACATGTTTCATTATGCTGAATTTCAGAGAATAATGTACTGTATCAGATTGTTTTCACATAACTGTAATATTAACTAAATTTAATTTATTGAAAATAGTATAAAGAGATAACACATTTTTCCTTTTACTTTATTAGTGTAATATCGTAAACTGTAAATCATCCGCAGAATACTCAGAAATAAATACCGTAGTGAGGCAGTTACTTTTCATTTCTCATTTTCTTATCCCTCCGAAAATTACTCTTGATATGTTTCTCAAATAGATTACGTTTTTAATTGCTGGCGATGTGTTTTGCAGGCCGAAACGTCTTCGGGCGATATCCCTCTGGAGGCAGCAACATATCCGTCAGGCGAATTCTCACCATCCTCTTATGAACCACTAGGAACGGGACAATACAGTGTCCTCACTAATGTCGTTGTAACCGTCGCACCTCCACAGTATGGCGCCCAAACTCCAGCTGTCAGCAATGTATATACACTAACAACAGGCGACTATTACAGAGAGGTAAGAACTTTCGTATTTGTTTCATATTCTGTGAATATCTGTAGTTCATAATTTCATCAATGTTGGCATCGGTAATAGACATAAAAACAGCTCTCATTCATTACATTTCAAATGCAGTTTTTTTATTATGTTGTGTTCACGACTTGTAATACAGTTTTATTCATAAGTGGGTAGGAGAGTGTATGAAACTCAATTAATATGGCCTTTCACCTCATCATTATCACTCATAAAATGGAATTAAGCATGTTGTATGAAATTACCTTTTAATGGAGGCAAATGCTTAAAAAATTTTCTGGTGAATGCGAATTGAATTTTCAATAAATTTCGTATCCGAGTCGTGTCATTATGATAAGATTGATTGTGCATTTTTTTTATTGAATTATTCATTGTGTTTATAAGCCATCCTGAAGGTCTTCAAATAGTTGGTGGAATTACCAACAACGGGAAAAGAGGTTTTGCAATATCAAATTCTGCTCTGTGTTTTATACCTGAGTAATGATATGATGTTAAATGGCTTCGAATGTTTTCATTTTTCCAATGCCTAATGAATGCATCTTCTTTCTTTCCAAGAACTGTATGACCAATCAAATATTACGGTATATAGTCCTTCAACGATGTACCTGTCAGATTGTCTTATTATCCTCCTGGATGTACAAATAAAAGATGGAGAGCTGTTTCACATTTGTGCTTTTGGCAGTATCTTAAAGGGTTTAACTAGATTCCTTTTAAAAATTTAATACTTTTTTTTAAAAAAACAGATTTCTTGCTAACTCGAGGTATACAGTTCCACAGGAAGTGTGGGGCTGCATTTTTAAGCTCGTCATAATAAATGAAGCAGCAAAAGTCGATCAAACGCTTCTAGAGTCTTTCATCCACTTAGACACGTATTTTACGCAAACTTTGCTAAACAATGAAAAATTTTAAGGACATTTCTAATATTTAGACTAAAAAAATCATTCCTGTTATTATTTTATTCACCACCACCACCAGCATTCCTTACTGGCTGTGAGCATATGAAATGGGAACAAATCTCAATCTCGTTCTTTGGCCATTAGAAACATTAATATTTTTTACTTCATCTATACAAATTAGTGTGCTTGACTGTTATTTGAATGGAATTCGTTCATTAAAAATAAGACTTCAATTTTCAACATAAGGAGTGGTCAAGAGAAGAATGAACAACATAGATTCTCAAGAATTTAATCTAATATAATAATAGGTCTATTAGAACAAAAGTAGAAAAAACTATCTAGAATGGAATAAACTAGCAAAATTCGATATCTTCATATTTCTTCCGCCGACAGAGAATTCGTTGTTGTTGTGTGGCACACTGCACAAAAAAAAGGGGAGGGCACAGTTCTATATCTCTCGTTCTACTGGGCCATTGACGAAATTCAAATTGCATTTTCCATGTCTCGAAAGCGCGACTTAGGATATGTATTAGATTTATATATATAGCATCATTCTAACGTAGGTATTTTGACACAAAATCGGACTTTTTCTGAAATGACGTGCCACTTTTTTTCAATATTTCGATTCTACGACTCGAATTATACCTAAATATTACTAAATTTTTTTTAATTTGGTGAGAAATTCAAAAATTTATCTTAGCTTTTTTTTTTTTTTTTTTTAGTTTTCATCCAAGAATAATTTACTTGGCGAACTTCTTAATTTATAGCAACCTATTTTCCTTTTCTTTTGTTCATTGTAAACGAGCGGGAAAAAGTCATCGTTCATACTTTCAAGCAATTAAGTGCGTAAACCACATATGGCGTTATTAACGCTTATAACAAATATGTCAAATTTCAAAACGCGTTAACATGTAAATTCACGTATATTAGGAACTTTTGAATTTTTTTTTTTCTTTTTTTTTTTTTTTTTTTTTTTTTTTTTTCAGATATGCTTGGAAATACATCTGCTTTAAGATCGTGGTAGAAATTTTATAGGTTATAATTCAAAATTTTTTTCGAAAAATTTGTAAAAAATTATTTAAAAATAAAGATTTTTAAAAATAATTCATAAAAAATGGGTGAGTTTTATTTGGAATGAACCTAAATTTCGAGATGTGAAAGGAAGAATCTAATAAATTTAATAAAAAAGATACATCAATAAATATATACAAGATTCAGTTAACACGGAGGAGCTAAAATTTTGAGAGCTCATTTTTTAAAAACTACTCGTGCGATTTTTACAAAACTTGGCAGTTTGGCGTAATTTCAGTCATAAAATCCAAATATGAAAAAAAAAAAAAAAAAAAAAAAAAAAAAAAAAAAAATGGTATTTCAGAAAAGTCCGATTTTATGTCAAAATACTTAGAACAACGCTATATATAAACCTAATACATATCCTAAGCCGCGCTATTGAGACATGTAAAACGTAAGTTGAATTTCATGAATCGACCCGGTAGAACGAGAAATATACAACTGTCCCCCGTTTTTTTTTCCGCAGTGTATTGCATTAAAAAAGGTGCCTATTAAAGTGAAAGGAGTACATTGTCCTTTGCTTCTTGACTGAATTAGCCTTCAGTGGAAAGCTCTTGCTATTAGATCATGAAAATAATTGTTTCGAAAAATCGCCGAAGCGAATGTTTCCGTTGTTTCCAATTTGAGTATAGAAAATTCTTAAAATGTTTGTAAATGTCTGTAAGTCTCGGTTACGGGCTCCATGGTCTCTTGTTCACTTTTATCTTCTTCATTCTTTCCTGCACTTTTTCTGTAGGTTTAGACTGAAAAAATTATCCGGGAAGCTAGGGAAACTAAGAAGGTAGTGAAAATTAACAGAAATAAGAATAAGTTTATTGCATTTTGCAACAAAATAGCTCTCAGAAATGTTTCTAGTAATGTAACCGCAGAGCTGACAACCAGGTGCGAAATGTTACAGTATTATTCTGTTACTATACAATTCTATCCTCGTACCCGCAGGTAATTCGTTTCACAATATACCAGATTTGGGTAAGCAAGCGACTTATCGTGATATTGAATTAATGTTGCCTGCTCCTAAGTCTTATTGGAAGCATGTGGCTTGGGGAAAAAATGGTTGACTAGAATGCTGAATATCTTGCTTTTTTCAACGACTTAAGTGTAGGCATTTCCATCCGGATTATAAACTTACTCAGATTTTGACCGGTCATGGAAATTTTGGAATTTACTTACTTCGTTTCATTATTGTTACTAGTAGACTCTGTGTTTGCGGCGATTCTGTGGAAGATGTGGAATATATTTTATTGCATTGCAGGTTGCGTGAAAGTGCCAGAAGTGAGTTTAGGGCAGCTCCCTATTTGCTGGCCTCCTGTTTTCTACGATCTTGTTAAGAGTTCCGAAGCCTTTGCAATCTTGCTACACTTTACTTGTTCTTTGAACTTTTAGTATTGTTATTTACATGATTAGATTTTTTTTTTCTTTTATGTTTCATGGTAATAGTTTGCATATTGTCGATATATGATTACGGTATGGATTGATGTATTATACTGTTGATGTTTCATTTTTATTATTATTGTATTATTATTAAGTTGCTTTTTTTTTTCTTTTATGGGAGTATAAACATAGTTTAATTATTTATGATATATTTTAGTATTTTTATTATAATAGTATTTGTATTTTATATATTTTCCTTTGCTGTCTCAAAACCTAGATATTATGTTTTTATTATTGAGTTGTATTTCCTTCTACTACGAGTTATTTACTTACATCTGGAAGCCTCGTAAAATGCTTCGTGGAACACGAGGAGTCTCGTATTTGTTTTCTTGATCAAAAAACTGTATATCTATTTATAGTTTTATTAAAATTTATCTTTTAAAGGTGGAAAGGAAGAAATTTTCAGATTGAATTAATTTTTTATTGTCTATTTATTTATTTCTAATTTTAAAATTAATTCCTTGATGTAAGAAGCAAAATCATACGAATTGCAGATTTTTTTCATAAACAGTTATGCTGCTAAAAATGAAGAAAGGGAAAAGTTATTCACCTTGCTAATTGATAGATTAGGATTTTGAATCAGTATTGAATTTGAAGTAGAAAAATTTTGATTTAATTAGACGGCAAAAGGACAAGTTCTCTTTCCATCTTTCCCAATTAAAAATTTCGTTTTTTTTTTTTTTTTTTTTTTTTTTTTTTTTTTTTTTTTTTTTAGCTCCTAGAGGATCGTTAGACCAGAAGGACTATTAGTCTCGAAACGGCATTTTGCTTCGGTTCACTAGAAATGTCTGTTTCGCTTTTCATATTGTTGCCACCATTTAAAGAAATTAAATGAAGAATCTGCATGGCTGTATGTACATTACCTTCTTTTAAGAGGAATTTAACATAATTACATTGGTTAAGATAAAATACACTGATTGACTACTTAGAATAATTAGGAATGAAAAAAGCGGGGAAGCAGAAAATACAATTTCATCTACTCAGTATAATAAATAATGCTATATATAATAAAAAGTAGATGTAAAAAAAAGCTGTAGTATATATTTTTGCAAAGCATTAAAAAAAAAAAAAAAAAAAAAAAAACATTTTACGTTTGGCATTCTAGTTTGAAGATGAATGATAGCGAAGAAGACATCTTCGATATTTAGAGCTGAGAAAAAATATCAAAGCTTTATTCCGAAGCCCAAAGAGAAGCTCAGCTTTTTAGGGCTTAAATTTTTTTAAAAAGAGAATACGAATTTATTGGGAGTTATAAAGTTTAAAAGAATAAAATAAGAGAAACAATGGAGAACGTTTTTTTAAAAAAATTGTTCGATTAGATTAGATTATGTACACCGAGTTTAAAGTGACGATTTAGTGACGAATGTAAGAGAACATAGAAAGCTCATAACAACATTCGAATTGGGATCTCCGAAGTAATCCTTGATCAATAGAAGTTTTTGAATGCAAGCAACTATAGTGCAGTAGTAATCGCATTTTGTAAAATAGTGTCAAATTAATTATGGTTTGGTTTAGTTAATCATGGCAAAGCACGTTAGGGATATCTGCGTAAGGGAATAGATACCTCTATGGAAGACTTTATAAGAT